ATCAACAATATCAACTATACCCCCACCCCCAGGGCAGTGCAACTGATTATGTATTTTGGCCATTCCCAAAGGGGGACACTAATATGTTCTTATGCACAGTTGAATTGTAAATGGACTGATTCATCGATGTCATGCTCATAGCTGTGTCTGAACTGAAGAAGGGAACTGCTGCTTATTCTTTCCTAATCCTTACTATTGTCATTTTTCCTCCACTTTTGTATGTTTGTCACACTCTTGTGACCTGCTATTTTTTTCCCTTACCATGTCCTTCTTTCCAGTGGCATGGTTTGTGGAAACGAGGCTTTAGTTAGACAGAGCCAAAATCACTGTCTTGTTCTGATGGGTTCTCATGAGATGATTTTGGTTTCTGTCCTACTGTATGGGCGGTTGGAGGGTGTAGTGTCACTTGTGGGTTTTCTTCTTTATTACTTTCCTTCTGTTGCAAGTACCGTAAAACTCTTAACTGAAACTTAAACTAAACTCCCTCTGGTGTTTCTGTTTGTCTGCCCTTCTTTTTCCCAGCACTAGATGACTGTAAATGCATTGATATGCTTTTATTTTCTTTACCTAAACTCAAACTGTCTTGCAGGTCTCCCCCCAGACACGCTGAACGGTCACCGCGACAGATTCCTGCTCTGCTACAAGAAGTGAGTCCATTTTTTTTTCCCTTTATAGCCGTGTTTACCTCCTTAAATTTCTCTTGCGCGCTCATATGACCTAATGTAGTGATGAGCACTGTAAAATTTAAAAACAGAGAATCAAATTTCCCAATCAAATTTGGCTATAGTTGATATAAATATGTGAATATATATATGTATGTATTATATAAAATCGTACATTAACTTGTTCTTATGCACAGTAGAATTGTAAATGGGCTGATTCAACAATGTCATGCTCATAACTGTGCCCGGACTGCGACAGGGAACTGCTGCTTTTTCTTTCCTAATCCATACTATCATCATTTTATCCTCTACTTCTTTTGTATGTTTATCACACTCTTGTGAACCGCTGTTTCCGGGGTGCCTTGATAGTCGAAGCAGACTTTATTCTTCTGTTGAAGCTAGAGAGGTGAGCAGAGTAAGCCTGATTCCCTGTAAAGACTTCTCTGTTGACATCCTCCCCTTGGCGCTCATATAACCTTATGCAGTTGCGAGCGATGTAAAACCTCTACTGAAGTAACAACTTTGAATTTATGGTGTGAGTCTCCCTGTGTCATGTATGTATTTGGGTTCCAATGCAGTAGCGCCCCTTTTAACATTTCGTGACCAGTTTGAATTTGCGGATCTCTTTAAGAATCATATTTATCACAAATTCGAGTTGGACACAAACAAACAAAAAAAACACACAAAAAACACAAAAAAAGAACAACCCCCCCC